GTCGACAACGTACTTTGGCGTAGAGTAAAAAACTCAAAAATTGATAACGACAAAAAATATAGTAATAATAATTGTTTTTCCGAAAACCAATGCAAGAGAAATATATTTTCAAAAACTTTATATTATAACTCTCCGACACGGTTAGCTCGCGTCTCGCGTCGAATGGATCACTCTGTAGCTGGTACCTCTATGTAGGTTGGGTTAGGTATGGTTAGGTGCGTGTATCAACAGCAGCTGTTCAAAAAAAAAAAATAATAATAATAATAATCTTCACGATTTTCTCGGTTTTCTGCCCCAAAGCGCAGTGCCGACGTACGGACGGCACGAACGCAACATAATAATATAAACTTATCGCGGATCGGATCGATATCGCGCGACGTCTTCGCCCTTTATCGCGGCGATAAGACGGAGAAAACCGTAGGAGGTTTTCTCCCCTCAAACGCCGTCGACCTTTTTAAACGGCGACGCCGACGAGTATGGGGACGGCGCGGAGTGGCGTAATGGAGACGGAAAAACCATTATTATTTTCAAATAAACGACCGCCGGACGACGGTAACGCGCGTTGAAAAACTACTGCTGACCATAATATATCAAAGTTAAGAGTTAAACCATTGTCCGGGGTCTCGCACGCGGCCCCTGAGGTACCCTCCCCCCCACAACCACCTGCACGCCTATACTTACGTACTGCGGTGGCAGGTATACCTCTACAAGGGCGTTTCTATAGTGTACGGTTGAGGGGCAGATACAAATCGTTGACGCGTCGATGCAGTCCTACGAGTCTGCGAAGCGCAGTCGGTTGACATCGGTTTTTTTTTTGGGGGGGGGGGACTCTTAAAATCAAATCGCCGACGTTGTTTGGAGGGTTTGGATTGCAGTGTCCGCTGTTTGGAGGTGTCCTGCAGTAGTGTAGTGGAGGGTAAACGGCTCGTACCAAACTCCTAATATTATAATTATGTGGCGTGTACCCTCAACGAAAATCGTGATACGCAGGACCAGTGACAATACGCGTTGACGTTAACCAGTAAATAATATTCATCAAATAGTAAACGGTGCGCTAATAGCAAAAATGATATAATACAGTATACAAGTACATCGATATAAAATATTATTTTATGTTGCACAACCACCAACCTAACTGGAGGCATAGACGTTTTGTGTAATCGTGTAGAAAAGGTACAGTACACGCCTATGCACTGTAGATTGTTGATACACTCAGTACTGGACTTGGCGGAATAAAAATAGGCAGATTCCGTTTGCTTTTGAAAAGAGACCTTCCCCATCAATCGTCAAACGTTATTGCCCGAAGTCATATAAGAATATTTATAATTAATAATCATTTAAAAACAATAAAAAAAAGTACAAGTCAATATAAGGCATGGCGGTAATAATTACTGCAGGCAGGTACCCATTGTATATATTATTATTATAGTTATACAAAATGACGAGATCACGAGGACAATATATGTAAATTAATTAATAGTTTATCAATAATTAGTTAATATTGAATATCGGTAAATTAGTATTAATGAATTTACAGGTCCCGAGGTTATGAAAAAGTCCATATTATAAGATAAGTTATGACGGTAGGTATCTCGAGCGTTTTGATAAAATGTAGAATTATGAAGCATCCCTTGTAAATAATATAGTGGAGGTACGTTTAAATTTCTGAAAAATTAGTTGGGGTACTACGTACCAGTCTCCACCCCAAAATCGAGCACTGGCACAATACGATAAATCATTAGCACGTCAATACAGTTTAACAAGTGTGAGATGTATAATAATTGTAATCGATTAATATTGTTTGTTTCGGACGCTCGAAACTTGTGGATCGCTATACAAATATACGTCATAATAATATTATAATCGTATCACTGAGCAGCAAATTAAACTGCAGAATTGTTTAGTTATATTGAATAATGTCTATGAGACTAGTCCGGTTTGGGATTTTGAATTTTTTTTTAAAGCTAATGCACTTTTTTGTTAAGCAAAAAAATTTAACTTTTTAAGAGTACACGTTTGCCACTATCCACTTGAATGTGATCAATATAATAATATATGGACGCCTAGATAAACACATAAACACTGCAATAGATAGATAGGTACGTGGCATTCCTATTATTCCTATTATTCCTATACTGCATAGCCCATAATATCATTAACACGTCGATGCAGTGTAAAACGTCTGAGACGTACGTCGATTCATCGACTTCGTATTTTTTTATCAGACGCTCAAAGTCGATTTCAAATATTTCAAATCTGAGTTCAAATCCGGTGCATTATAATGATATAAATGGATCATTGTATCGCACTGCAGCAAATTAAATTGCAGTATTATACAACGATTGAATATGACTTTTTAAGAGTAGCTGTACCCATATACCAGGGATGGTAAAACCTTTTGAACACTGAGTGCCCAAAATTACCTTTTTCTTTAGAGCTTGCCATGAAAAAAATATTATATTTTGTTATATTATAATATAATTTGATTGTAAAATGAATGTATTAGTATAGAAAGGTTAGTTTAGGTACATAACGATACCAATAATTATATAATATAATAAATAATAATAATTATAATTCTAATAGTATTGCTTTGTTAGTTATTTATTTTAATGTGATTTTTGTTGTTGGACACTTGATGCCCGTTCGTTCATATTTGGTTTATAATTAGTAACTTTTAATAAAGTACATGCGGCACTGCATTCATCAGTTTGTCAGTTTCTTAAATCAGATTTTATAAAATTCATTTCTGAAAATAGTGACTCGCATGAATGAGTTGAAGAGAAAATAGACAAAACAGCTAATGCTACTATTTTTAAAGTGGAATAATCTTTTGGAATTTCATTCCACACTCTCAAAATCTTGTCCCTTGTCTTCTATGTTTACGATCAATTTGCCTATCGCCTTATCACGCTGAATTACTTCTAATTCATTTCTCAGTATAACGAATTGTTCTATATTTCTTATAGTATATTATAGTCTATGCCAGGGGTCGGCAATACAAATTAATACAATTAAAAAAAATATTTTCGAGGGCCCTAAGAAAAAAATAAATATTTGTTAATAATGTATTTATTTTGTATTAAAAATACAGTTTGAGTTGTTTGAAGCAAACTATTTGATAAGATATAAAAATATATTTGAAATTTAGTACTCTGGTGGAGAAAAAGTAATATGCGCACGCAGACGCGCAGTGTTTTCGAAGTTGAGTGTTCTAGGCTTATAGGTATACCAAACGCATATTAAAGGTATACCTATACACTTATAATACACCCCATACACACACACACACACACACACACACACACACCATACACTACGGCATTCCTATTATAGGTTGGCTGCATAATAGCACATTATATCATTAACACGTCGATGCAATGCAAAACGTCTGAGACGTACGTTGATTTATCGATTTCGTATTTTTTTTTAAATCGATTTCAAAATTTTCGAATCGGAATTTAAACGCAGTGGATTACGATAATATAAATAGATCATCGTATCAGCAAATCAATCTGCAACATTATACAACGATTGAATATGGCTTTTTAAGAGTAGCTGTGCCTGTAAAGTCTATGCCAGGTTTCTGCAGTTAAACTCTACGGCGGTCGAGATAATGAACTTTTTTATCTACTCACAAAAAAAAAACCCTTTCTATCGCTGAAATGTTATCAGTTATTCACAAGTGTCCGCTATTGGCGTCCATTGGGGGAGGTTTCAACGTACTTACTCGAATATGATATATAGCCTTATAGGTAATATAATATGGAGGCGTATTATAGGATACACTAATACACAGCACAATAGATAGGCCATGACAAACTAGAGAGGTATCATCAGTGATTTATAGTTATATTTAGGGTTCTGAATTTGAAATATTTCAATATTAAAAATTTCACTCTTCTTGAAATATTTCAATGAAACTATGAAAAATATTTTTCCTCTATTAAACGTGTTCGGTTATAGATGATAAGAAATTTAAATATATTGATTACACACAATAAGAAATAAAGAAAAACATATTATTTTTTTGTTTTTTTATTATTATTTCATATTTGTATATTCTATAATGTGTAGTTATGGAAAATATTTCCTGGCATTATTTTGAGAGTAAAAACATTTTTTATATGAGTTTTAAAATATTGTTGTATTCAGACTGTCAGCGATCCAAAAGTTAATGGTTTGAAATAAACTCGAAGTCAATTTCAACAGTGAATGAAATAATAGTGTATTTTCAGTAATTATAAAGTGTACAAATGTCGTATATGTGTGTGTATATATGACTGAGCGATGTGAAGGTGCTCTGGACTCTTTTATTTAATACTTTGATCATATTTTCTATATTGTAAAAGGTCACGTCTAACGACTATATTAAGAGTGGTTTATGTCTATACATTGTGAATATAATATTATAATATAATTATAATATAGTGCCTATAATAAAATATGCATTCGCAGATACACGGCTCTCAACAATATGTTATGATTTTGAGTTGGCTTATGAGGTTTTAAGGCAATGTTTAAATTTGTTACATTATAGATTTGTTAAACAACTTATAAATTATATATATTTATATGTAAATATGTTACATAATATTTTATTTGTTTCATACAATAAACCAACTTTTGAAAATTTTCATTTGGAAGTTGACGATTATACACTTTTAGATGTAATACAAATTTTATTTTTATTTTTATCTCATGATATATTTCAAGAAAATAAATTTCATGAAATTTTAAAACCCTAACCATCACAGTTGTACTAGTGTGCGCATCTCCTTTACCTCCGGATCATGTCGTAGTTCTCCACTTCTCATTGGTTGATTTTGTTCTATCTTATATAGTATGTATGACGTATGTAGACGGTTGATAGCCGATAAGAAGTGGAAATCTACGATAAAGGCGAAGTAAATAAAGGAAGATGAGTATCAAAATACTGCGATGATACCTCTATATCTAATTTGTCATGAGATACACTACGGCATTCCTATTGTAATACTATGGCGGCAGCACAATACCACAAATCATTAACGAGTCAATGCAGTTCAACACGTCTGAGACGTATCGTAGTCGATAACAATGGCTATTGCGAACGATTAAATCAAATCGCTGGTTTGAAACAAGGTGGATTAATGGACGTTATATTATTATCGCATCGTATCACTGCACAAATTAAACTGCTCAGTATGTTAAACGATGATTTCTACGAAGTCAGTCCAGTTTTGGGATTTGATGAGTACTTTTTTTTTCATCCGAGGATAAAGATTACTGGATTTAAATATCCATCTATAAAAAAAAAATAGAAATATATAGGTACGTACTTTTTTTATCTAGATGAGTTTCGAGTTTTACCTCCCCAAAACACAGTGCTCGATTTTTGAGAACAAATTAAAAATGTGCAAACCGTCCTTACCTTAAATACCACAAAAAACAAGTCGGGTAACCCGCGGGCTCTACAGAACTTTTGAACTTTGTGAACTTTGTCAATAGTGATCGATTTGTCAGTATTCGTGACTTGTGAGTACGAATCGGTGATTTGAATTTGTGCGTAAGATCTACACACCATAATTATTGAGAAACCTGAATTAGAAATGTCGGCATCGGGCAGCCAACTTCGGGGGCTTAGGTTCAGGAAAATCTCCTGGACAAATACAATTTCGGAAAAAACCGGTTTTCATTAGCATAGTCCCGGAAAATTGCTCAAAATTCGGGAAAATTGGAACATTTTAGAACATCGAGATGATCAATTTCCAGTAAACTAAGGTTATTAAGTACCGTAATGATATTTTGCTTAATATATTTCTGTCAAATGTTCGGTACCTAATAATAAGTAATTGGGGTGAAAATAAAACATTTGTTTGTACTATAAAAATGGTAGAATTGACTTTACATTAAAATTGCTATGGGGATAGCTATAAGGTTAGTCAGATTTACTAAAATATCATAGTCGAGTTATTTGTAATAACTTAAATAATATGCTATTTTAACTTTATTTTTTAGTTAATTCAGACATTAAAAACTGCGTTAACTGTAATAAATAATATAGTAAACATCACCATAAAAAATAACTATATTTATTATTTATAAATAGATGACCCTCTTTGAATTCTATTTTTCCTCTGGGCATACACACACATTTCTTCTCTTACACTCTACGGCAGAGATTCCCAACCAGGGTGCCGCGAAATTATTTGAAATATTTTTTTAGCAAAAACAATTTCATTAAAATTAAATACAATGTAATAATTTGTTTATAAAATGTAATATGTATATAGTATGCACTTACATCTTACTACTTTTGATTATACTTATGCACTAATAAATAGAACCGAAGTACTCTATAGTATAGACTATAGACTATAGAGCATAGGGTGGCTCCGGAATTTTAGAAAATGTCCAAGGGTGCCGCGAGTCAAAAAAGGTTGAGAACCTCTGATTTATACAGTCGTAATAAGTAAACCGTTTTAGTTATTTTACCCATAAATAGTTATATTTACTATATAGTTCGTTTAACTATAACATTTTAGTAATTTTTTTTCATCGGTGCTGTCAATCATTACGACTTGCGATTTCGGTCAACCGATGGAAGAAACCTATCGAACGCGATTTTTGTTTTTCGTCTCGACTGCGACGTTCCGTATTAGAGGACGTCATTAAAAATAAGGTCGAGGGGGGCACTTGACGTGCCATTCCCCCCCTAACCTCTGGGTACCTACAATTACTCGACTAAATCCGCTTTCGCTGCAGTGCCGTTGTTGTATTACTATATGTAGGTATTAGGTAACGATATTATAGCGTCATAATATTATGCTACTCGAGTCGTACCCACCTCAGACCAGAAAAAGGAAATAAAAAATAAATAAATAAATAGGAATCACGTATAGGTCGACCCAAGTCGCGTAAATCCGCGACGAACTCGAATTTCGTGCGACGTTTCGCCGACGGTATAATAATATATTATATAGTGCAATGCAGCCCGACGACGGCGGAGGACGATTTATTTCGTTTTTATTATTGTGTCGTATTATTTGTGCGCTGCTTTGTTATTATTGTCATACAATATAATAATATAATATACAGTACACACGGTCTCGAGAGCTCGTGAGATGTTTATCGGAAAATACGTGTGCGTGTGACGCGCAGTGTGCTGCTCGATAAATGTTTAACGACGACGACGACGACGGCGGTCGCGGTTCGCGTGCGCCATTGATAAAACATTGATAAAAAAAAATGAAAAAACAGATAAAAAATACATCATATACATATAAATAATAATAAAAGCATGTAATATAACACAATATTATAATATTATATTCGACGACGACGACGACTTACACGTGCGTGCACATAAAAGCAATTTCGGTGTATCTCAGTGCACACATAAATCGTAGCAGCTTTTATAATAATATAATTTAATACAAGTACCTGAAATCCTACCCAGTGTTGGGAATCATCTAGATAAGATTTTTTCAAAAAAATTATCTCTTAGAAGCACTTATCTCCATCAATAGGGTGTTACCACTGAGTACCCTCCCTAATCGTGAGATTCATGTCGACCTACATATTTTACTGTCAATTATCAAACCTACTTATTGTACATAAAAAAATTGTATGGATTGTAGATATATTTCAATATAATAAAAAAAAAAGTACTCATCTAGATAGTTATGTATAATGTATAGCTCAAAAAATGGCATTATCTAGATGAATTTTTCTAGTTAATTAAAGGGGTTAATGGATAAAGGTGTCAACTGACATTTTTAAGATTCTGAGGGGAAAAAAATTACTATAATTACCACTATTCAATTGGCAAAATGACTAAAATGATTTACTTATTATGACTATATAAATATAGTTATTTGTTTTTGGTAGTGTTTACCATATTATTTTATAGTTAACGCTGGTTTTAATGTTTGAATTAACTAAAAAATAAAGTCAAAATAGCATATTATTTAAGTTATTATAAATAACTTGACTATTATATTTTAGTAAATCTGACTAACCTATTATAGCTATCCCTATTTTAATTATAATGTACAGTCAATCCTACTATTTTTATAGTACACGCAACTGTTTGTTTTTTTCCGTGTGGTTTTCAATGGTGTTTATTATTTTTTTTTATATATATATACTGTGTACAAAATTTCTACTAGAAGGAATACTTCGATTTCCACGTATAGTACTTTATCTTTTAGAAAATTGGATCATGATGGTACTTTAGAGTGGTCATTTTTCGATTTTCTCAATAGTTACGTAATGCCACTGGAAAAACCACCGACAAATTATGAAAAACCGCTAAAAATGGGATTTTAATTTCCAACGCTTAGTTTATCACCATAGAAACAAATAAAAAATAATTATATTATAATATTAATTCAATTTACAGGCTATACAAAATAATGACGATATACAATATCCAAACTGACAAACCACCTCAGCTCAGAATCGTTTTTTTTCATACAATGATATTATTATATCATCGAATTCAAGTTTAATACAATCCATTATACAGCGACTCACTTGTAACCTACTGTACAGCAGAGCGACATCTACTTTTTTTTTTAAAATCATTATCATTATACAAAACCGACGCATCATGACGTATTACATAGGCTATACAAATATCAGAACAAAATATCATGTATTGATAAAGGTGTTATTTATACAATCTGTGGTTCTTGTTTTGTGGATTAAGGGGTTATTGTATTATATCCCCTACTACCGTATTAACAGATACAATTTATAAATCTTCAGAGTATTGTTTATGACTTTAAAATACACATTATTTTTGTTTTCAAAGATTTCTTAGCATTGGAATAGTTAAAATGTTCCAAACGTTTAATAAACACTAAAACTACCCTCTTGAATAATTTCAAAATTGTGGGTTATCACCTTTATGCACTGACCCCTTCATTTCATTACAGTGGTGCCCCTACAAAAATTATATTAATGAATGGAGTGTGGATGTGTATGCATTTTCATATTTATTCTGGTTGATCGTATATGGTGTTCTAAATGAGCACAAGAGTTGTTTTATGACAATATAACGATTTAAATAATGAAACTATTTAGCCCATATTTTTGCATATCTGGAAATTTACCCATTTTTTCTATTTTAAGGGCTTAGTTTACAATTTCAATTGCATATTTCATCTTTTAGTGCATATTTTGATGTTTTTTTTCGTTTTTTTTTTATAAATTTTTGCAATATATATTTTTGTAGCCGTATAATAAAAAATAATATACATTTCTAGTTTCGATTTATATCAAAATAAATTAATAGGTATACTTGTAGGTATAACCGGCTTTCCCAAAAATGACCTTAGATCAATAATCGCTGAAACGAAATACGTATACAAAGATGGCAAGGTAAGAAAATATCGATTACGATCATTGACTGCAATTATTTGCTTTCCGTCGTAATTCCCGCTTTTATTACTTAATGATATATATTCTTGTTTTAAATAAATGATCAAAAAATACATATTTTTTGCTAATTTGTTCATGTATATTTCAACATTTTATATGTATGGATATTTAAGATTTTTATCGCATATTTGGTTTGTTTTTACCGCATATAAATCCGAACTCTATAATAATGAATAACTATCATTTTTTTTTTTAATTACTGTATTGTTTTGCAAACATGAACTACGAGGCGTCTGCGCCTTAATAGTTTTTTGCCTCGTGATTACGAATAAAACAAAATATGTTACTAAAATTCGAATACAATATAGATTATTTATAAAATGAGAATTATAATTAGTTGTACACTATTTACATTGTTCTTGCCATCGCAGTGCGTACGTGAGGGCACTCTACGAGCCATAATGGACATAGTGAAAATATATTATTAGTCATTAGTTAATTTTCCCATCTGTTTCACGAATGAACCAAAATCAAATTGGTAGAGACCACTAGATTTTTTGCATTTGATAAATGGTATATCAGTAACTTCATTCTTGCAGGTAATTGGTTAATTAATATGATTTATGAGTGTCTATATTTTAGTACATATACATGGGCATTTGACAAGATTTATATTCAGAATAAAATTCAGAGATTTAAAGTAGGTATGAAATGCGCAATCCGTTGTTATCATAAATATTATGACGTCGTTATGTCATTGTATTGATATAGATTTAACAATACAAAAATAACAATATATACAATAGATATAATATAATATTACATATTTTCATCCCGTTGTTAATATGGATAGATTGTAAAAATGCTCAATATCAGTTTTAATTATTGTTTATAATATGTAACCATAGGTTATTTTAATTGTCGAGATATAATT